CATTTCTCCCACTCCTTATCTAGGAAACTGGCCATCTCATTGTGTTGTCAGCTGAGCACAGAATGGGCCACTCACCCTTCCGCCCACATCAAGGAGACCAGGGGGACAGGAGACCCCTGGAGGGAAAGAGATGACAGAAGGGAGTGGATGATGGGAATAAAAAAGCCAGAAATCGAACAAACCATGACTTTCAAATTCAGGAGCTGACTGAAAAGGGCTGAGAGTCAGGTTACAGCTTTGGCCTATGTTTATTTTTCAACTGGATGCTACGCAGTTAATGCTGAGATATCTAACCAGAGACAGCTGGTCCCAGCACCAAATGAAGTTGAAAAATCAGACAGGATAAGTGAAGTATTAGTGTGGGATAATTCATTAGTGTCAACACACAATCAAATTAGGACCTTAACTTCCTGAATTCAGCAAGGAGACGGCAGTGGAGGTTCCCAAAACTGAAAAGTGTGTTTCTGATATAAGACCTAAAGATCTGCAAAGAAAGTGAAACAGGGCTGTCCTTTCAGTTTTTATTTTCTCACAGTTTTCATTTCATCTCTCCCTAAAGGGCATTGTGGCTGGCAGATAGTACCCATTTTTGGCCAAGAGACGCTTTGTTGTGGTTAAATTTAGGATCAAGTTCTCATTATGTTTTCCTAGCAATGTGTTACCTGGAAAGAATTATGTAAACAGATTAAATGGTAATGTTCAAAAGAAAATGATTGATTCAAACAAAAAGATAAATAAGTGAAAGGAAAACGTTTGCAGGGCCGTGGATGAAAAATAATTGGAGGGTTAGCACAGGCCCAATGGCTAAAATTGCCTCTTTTATGCCATATTATTCCATGTGTCATAAGCCCTGGATTTGAAAAGTAGCCCATCTTCCCCCTTCCAGTCTCCAATGCAGAGTTATAATTATGGCATCAATGGATGAAGTTGTTGGTTTAGTGTTAAGCCATGAACAGCTTTAAACAATGAATCAGAATCCATGCGATTTGGGTTGCAATTGCCCAAAGTGACTTCATTTAGGACCCTTTAGAGGTGATATATAGAAAATTCAAGCTCACAGTAGAACTGTCACTCCAGAATTTGTTGTATGCTTGCATACCTAACATCAGGATGGACAGTTGATGGACCAACCTTGGCAAAATAGGCAGGAGTCCCTCAAAGAAAGTTTTTTTTAGCAGCACAATCAATTCCAAAGGTCTGGTCTGTTTTGAGTGGGATGTGCCTGCCATGGAATTGTCTCCAGCTTAAGAAGCAATTCTAAATTACAGCAAGTAATCAGGAAAGCTGATAGACTGCTATGGTTTGTTATGAGTGGAATTGAATGCAAGGTTATGCTTTAGTTATACAGGGCATTGGTGAGACCCCATCTGGAGTACTGTGCATAGTACAGGCCATCATACTTATTCAAGGATGTTAATGCATTGTAAGTGGTTCAGAAGTTTTCTAATACCTGGAATGAGCGGATTGCCTTTAAGGAAAGGTTAGACAGGCTAGGCCTGTATTCTCCGGAGGAAGTGGTAGATGCAGGTACAGTTACAATATTTAACAGACATTTGGACAGCTACATGAATAGGGAAGGTTTAAAGGGATATGGGCCAAGCACAGGCAAGTGGGACTAGTTTAGTTTGGAAAACTTGGTCATGAATGAGTTGGACCAAAGGGTCTGTTTCCATGCTGTATGACTCTATGAAACATAAGATCCTGAGGAGACTTGACTGGATGGATATCAAAATGATGTTCAATGATGTGGCAAAATCTAGAACTTGGGATCATAGTTTAAAAATAAGGGATTGCCCATTTGGGACAGAAATGAAAAAACATTTTTTCTCTCAGAAGGTTGCGAGTCTTTGGAATTCCCTTCCTCAAAAGACAATGGATGCAGAATATTTAATTATTTTAAGGCAGAGGTAGATAGATTCTTGAGTGATGAAAGATTATCAGGGATATACAGGAATATAGAACTGAGATTCAAATCAGACCAGACATGATCTTATTGAATAGTGGAGCAGACTGAAACAGCCAAGTGGCCTACTCTTGTTCCATGTTCGTGTGTTCGTATTCCCTACTGACTGTTCTGGATACAGTTAAGAATTACACACCCACTAACCATTTAGAGGTCAGGGACATGTGCAGGATTATTTACTTATACTGCAAACAGATCATTTTCACTCATTTGCACCAATGGCCTGGATTTTCCACCAATTGGAGCAAGACTCAGAACATTTAAATTATATAGAATTTACAGATCAGAAATAAGGCATACAGTCCTTGCTGGTGTTTCAGCTCCGTGTGAGCCTCTTCCCACCATGATTCACCTTACCCTTGACAGAATATCCTTCAGTTTCTTTCACTCTCATGTTTAACAAGCATCCCCCTAAACATAGCTGTACTATTTCCCTCAATATTCCACATTCTCACCACAAGGAATGTTGCTCGGTCCACTACATTTTGTCAACATGATTTGTATGTGAATATAGGAAGAATGGTTAGTAAGTTTGCAGATGACACCAACATTGGTGGTATAGTGGACTGTGAAGAAGGTTGTCTCAGAGTACAATGGGACCTTGATCAGATGGGCTGATGGGCCGAGGAGTGGGAGATGGAGTTTAATTTAGATAAATGTCAAGATGTTTTGCTGAGTTCACTGTTGGATTTTATCTGAATGCTTAAGTCTCCATTTTCCATCCTTGTACTGGTTAATAAAAGTGACCCCTTTAATGTCAATGGTGGGAGGCAGAGAGTTAATACGAAAGTAAAGAAGGTTATCTCAGAGCACCACAGGACCTTGATCTGATGGGCCAATGGGCCAAGGAGTGGCAGAAGGAGTTTATTTTGTTGTATTTTGGTAAGGCATATCGGGGCAGGAATTACACACTTAATGGTAAAGTCCTGGGCAGTGTTGCTGAACAAAGAGACCTTTGGGTTCATGTTCATAGTTCCTTGAAGGTCGAGTCACAGATAGGGTAGTGAAGAAGGCGTTTGCCTTCATTGGTCAGTGCATTGAGTATAGGAGTTGGGATGTCATGCTGTGGCTGTATTGGACATTGGTTAGGCCATTTTTGGAATACTGTGTTCAATTCTGGTCTCTCTGCTATGGAAAAGATGTTGTTAAACTTGAAAGGGTTCAGAAAAGATTTACAAGGATATTTCCAGGGTTTGGAGGGTTTGAGCTATAGGGAAAGGCTGAATAGGCTGGGGCTACTTTCCCTGGAACATCAGAGGCTGTGAGTTGACCTTATAGAGGTTTATAAAATCATGAGGGCCGTGGATAGGGTGAATGGCCAAGGTTTTTTTTTCCAGGATAAGGGAGTCCTAAACCAGAGGGCATAGATTTAAAGTGAAAGGGGAAAAATAAAGGACATAAGGGGCAAAATTTTCACGTAGAAGGTGGTGTGTGTATGGAAATGAGCTGCCAGAGGAAGTGATGGAGACTGGTAGACAATTACAACATTTAAAAGACATCTGGATGGATACATGAATAGAAAGGGTTTAGAGGGAAGTGGGCTAAATGCTGGCAAATGGGATGAGGTTAGTTTAGGATATCCGGTCAGCATGGTTGGACTGAAGGATCTGCTTCTGTGCTGTATGACTGTATGAGTTTTCTGGTACAGAGGTAGTGATTGGCTGTGCCATTGTGTTTCAGAACCTTTGATCCTACCAAACAAAATTATTGACCTAAACTAAGCAGGTGTTGATGTATCTGCCTTCTTTACCTAGTGTGTGCACCACCAACTAAGCTAAATTTACATATGAACAGATAAAATAGGAGCAGGAGCAGGCCATTCAGCCCCTCCATCCTACTCAGCCATTCAGTAAGGTTGATCTGATTGAAACCCCAATTTCACAATCGTACCTACCCCTGATAACCTTTCACTTCCTTCCTTAACAAGGATCCCTCTACCTCTGCCTTAAAAATAAGTCAAGAATTTTCCTGTTAGTTCCTCTGTGAGTGAAATATAAGCAAGTCATCAAGCACCTCCAAGCCTTGTTTATGCCATTGATGGGGAAATGGAGTTGCCTGAAGAAGTTGTATCTCCAAAGCAGGAATAGCAGGCCACCCCTTTCTACAGCTCCAGTTGTTGGGTGACAGAAAAGCATTAATGTGGACACACAAACACGCCACCTACCCCCTGCACATTTCCTGAATCAGGAAACACTGCCTGCAGAGTACTAAATAGATTAAACATTCAGTCCAGTAATCAAAAGCAAACTTCAAGCATAGATTCCAGATGTTGCCTCTTATTGAGAGATTTTTAGTCAGAGCCAGTGAGTCATTAAGCGGGGCGTCACGCACTCCTTCACGTTCTTTCTTTCTCCCTCCGTCCTCTTTAATGGAACTATTCTGTGAAAGAATCGGCTTCCATTTATTCAATGACTCAATGCATAATTGCACACTCCAGTATAGAACTGAGTATCGCAGGCCTGGTTCAATCTCTGGCCATTGCTGACTTGGTCTGGTGACACACCCTGCTTGGCTGCCGTGGGGCGGGGGTGGTGCTGTAGGGTGGAAATCAGCTGAGGTTCCTGTTCCTGAGTTAAACTTACATCCACGTCCCGTCTGCCCTCATCTGGCTGTAAAATATCCCATGGCGTTATTTCAAAGAAAACCAACGTGCTGACCAATATTTATTCCTCACTCAGCATCACTAAACAAACAGATTGTTGTCATTTATTGCATTATTGCTGTGGAATCTCGCTGTATATAAACTGACTGCTTTGCTTCCGATCTTACGATGTAACTACAATTCAAAATTATTTAATTAGTTGTAAAGTTTAACGGGTATGCTGCAGCTGTTAAAGGTTCTTGCACAAGTTCAAGTTTTTTTTTCAGTTTTCCTAGAGCATGGACACTTGAGTACAGAGCGAGTGGGTGGCTGGTGTTAGCAGGAATTGTACCCCCCAAGACGATTCTCCACGTAAGGAGAGGGGAAAGTTTGCAAGGCGGGTTTGATTTCCTACACCCTGAAGGCTTAAAAGTTTCTCTCCTATTTCTTTTGCAGAGCTCCAGCGAGAAGGAAGTATCGAGACCCTGAGCAACAGTTCCGGTTCCACCAGCGGAAGCATCCCGCGCAATTTTGAGGGCTACCGCTCACCACTGCCCACCAATGAAAGCCAGCCACTCAGCCTCTTCCCCACAAGTTTCAACTAAGCACGCTCTCCCATCCCTCCAGCCACCACCTCCATTAACATCGGAGCTTGTGTCCCTCTTATTGTACAAACTTTATTGCAACAAATAATGCGTAGATCAACCGAGTGGAACATGAGACATGAACTTTCTCTGCCCCCACCCAGTAACGGCTGGACTGAAACAGTGTCATCTGAATAGTAGTTGCGGGAAGGTGGAGAGGTGAAGGCTTTCCCCCTGTAGTTTCCAATTTATGCTGATTTGTGTAGCTTGCAAGTGCCTTTTGGGCTTTCTAATTCTCCAGAGCTGGCAAATCCCCTTTACTCCCCACCAATTTCATACACTGACAAACGGAAGGGCTCAAAGCTGCTGGATCAAGGCTGTACTGACATCTACATCATTTCTTGTTTGTTTCCATTTGTCAATTTAAACATGTTGCAAAGTGGCAGCCCTTTTATTTGTAAGGTTAGAGAGAGCCATGTTGTGTGTGTCTGTGTGTGTGGTTTTGCTTTTTTGCCTTAAATTGACACAGTTTTAAGTTTTATCAGAAACCTACTGTTATCTAAAGAGTTCTTGTCCTTTCAGTAGATTCCTGTGAAAGGAATTCCATCATATTAAACAGCACAGGGAGTAATCTGTCCTCTGACTCACTTAACTTTCCTAAAGCTGTGAGTGCTGTTGATCTCCTTGCTATAGTGGGATGGTGGGGTGCAGAAGAGGTTAGGGAAGTGAAATGGTTAGTGTGAGTATACTTGAAACAGCAAGGATCACAGGAGTAAACTGTAGGCGTCTTTGAACTTAGTTCCAGACTCTGAGGCCTCTGTGGTCCGTGTTTCTAAATTCCAAAGGAAAAAGTTTGAAAAGAAATTGTGAGGGCAGAGATTGCTAATGGGATTTCAGTGCAAAGGTTCACAAAAATCCCTTTAAATATTAGCAGCTATTAATGAGCATTTTTTTTCCCCTACCTAGTTTTGTCCCCCTTGAAGTCCTGACTCTTTCTATCCTGCAGCATCCACAGAAATGTCAATCCTCGGGTATTTATTCCATGTTGTCAGGTTTCATGATAATTTGGCTCTAGAGAAGAATTAATTCCCTCCCTCAATTGATGACCACATAAAGCCCCTTTCCTGCAAGATCAGTGACTAGTAATCAGGTGGAGGAACCTGGCTGTTTATTTTCTTCCCGAGCTCATATGGAGCAGATGTTGACTGCAGCCATCCCAGACTGGGAATTGAGGTAGGAACCTCTCATCTCTGCTGCATCCTACACCTGGCACATCAGGCCTTTAATTTAGAAAAATTGAAGTTGCACAGTGAATTAACAAACCTGCAGTGAAAATAAGAGGCATGTTTGTAAGTATTTGTGTTAATCTGTTGATGCTAAATTTTTCTGTTTAAAATAAGTGCTAAAGAAACTTTTTGTCTTCCACTATACCTTTCTCAAGCTGGAAGGTTATCAGCACCCCTTGACCAGTGCTTCAGAGTACTGTGTAAAGAGCTTTGGCATGAGTGGCCAGGGAGAGTTATCCTCCAATTTTCTCTCCTTCCCTTTGTTAATCCCAAGTGAAATCTCAGATAGGACCATATGACGAATCCTACAAACAAACCTTTTTCCTTTTAGGCTCTGGAATTACACCCAGATACACTTGCATTATACAGCAAGGTTACAGCAAAAAGCACTGGCACTCTGTTCTGCTGTCAAGCTATGGCTACTGTGTTTCTGGTTCAAAAAATTTGGTTTTAAATTTATAACGCTTTGTTGAAAGAAAAGTGGGACAGTTCCAACTTTCTTGTATTCATTTATGGGAAGTGGGAATCACCAGCAAGGCCAGGAGAAGGTGGGAGTAAGCTGCCTTCTTGAACCACTGCAGTTCATGTGGTGTTGTTACACCCACAGTGCTCTTGGAGAGTTGATTTAGACACTTTTTGTGCTTTCATGCCAATGAGTTCAATGTTATGGAGTCAGGGTCTCAAATCCCCACCTTCCTAACAAGGTTGCAGGGTCTGAGATGACGTTTCCCCATTTAACAACAGTGCATTCATGAAGGCAACGTGATTTTGCCATCTCCCGGATTGCAGGTTGTGATGGTAAAAGTGTGGGCGATTGACTGGAGCCTTTATGCATCAGTCACTGAAATCCTGTCTGAGTCCGAGGCCACCAATATAATCAGCAGCCATCGGTTTTCTCATTTGGACTGAGCTGCTCCCTCAAGAACAGGCTGAGCAACCACAATACACAAACCACAAACAGCAACACAATGATTTGCTGAATGAATCATCTCTGAACATGTTGTCCATGTGAGGACGTTGAGATTGTTGAATTTTGGGAATTTTGCTGTTTTCCAAAAATTCTTTTGGCTAGATTTCCTTCTTTTCAGAAAATATGAATTTCATTGTCATACAGGTTTCACAGACACTAATTGTTAATGGTGTGTACATTCCATGGACTTTGACTCTCGCTGGCATATGAATCCCACACACACTGAACCTCACAGGGGTATTGGTTCAACAGACACTGCCTCTCACTAGGGTATAGGTTCCACTGATACTAACTATCACTAGGATACGAGTTACAGAGTCATAGAGTTTTTACAGCACAGTAAGACACTCTTTGGCATGTTGTGTCTGCACTGCTGGTCTGGCACCTATCCACTTTGCTCTATTTTCCAGCATTTGGCCCATTGCTTTGTATGCTGTGGTGTTTCAAGTGTTCATCTAAATACTTCTTAAATGTCTGAAGGGTTCCCAACTCTACCACCCTTTCAGGCACTGAGTTCCAAACACCCACCACCCACTGGGTGAAAAATGTCATCTTAAATCCCTTCTAAACCTCCTGCCCTTTACTTTAAATCTATGTTTTCTTATTATTAATACCTCTACCAAGGGGAAATGTTTCTTCCTATCTACCCAATTTATGCCCTTCTTTGTATACCTCAAGAAAATCCTGTCCAGCGTTTTCTGCTCCAAGGAAAATAACTCCAGCCTATCTAGTCTCTCGTCAAAGCAGGAATTCTCCAGATTGGCCAGTGTTCTGGTGAATCTTATCTGCACCCTCCCTAGAGCTATCACACCCTTCCTTCCAGAGTATGGTGACCAGCACTGTACACAATACTCCACCTGTGGTCTAACTCATGATTATTACAGCTCCATCATAACCTCACTGCTCTTGCATTCAATGCCTTGACATAAAGGCATGTATCCCATATGCCTTTGTAACAATCTTATCCACCTGTCTTATTGCCTTCAAGGATGTGTCGGCATGTACACCTAGGCCTCTGATTTTCAGTACTTCCTAGGGTCCTGTCATTCATTATGTACTCCCTTGCCTAGTTAGTCCTTCGAAATGCATTACCTCACACTTTTCAGGATTAAATTCTATTTGCCACTGTCCTATCCCCAGACGCTGTCTCTCATTAGGGTAAGGGTTCCACACGCTGACTCTGACTGGGGTGTGGGGTCCACACATACACTAACATTCAGTGGGGTATGGATTCTGTTGACATTGACTGTCACACATGTATGAGTCCTACACACATTGAGTCTCACTGAGGTACAGAGCTTACAAAGACAGTTAATTTCAACTTTCACTTACATAAAGGTCCACAGATATTGAATCTCACTGGAGTACATCTTCCATTGATATGGATTCTTACTGGGGTTTTGGTTCAACAGACACTCTGACTCTCACTAGGGTACAATTTCACAGACAGTGGCTTACACTCACTCTCCTTGTGGTATGGGTTCCACAGAAACTGAATCTCACTAGAGTATAGCTTCCAAAGACATTGATCTTGTCTAAAGTGTAGTTTCCATAAACACTAACTCTCACTGGAATATAGATTCCATAGATACTGACTGTAACTGGGATTGCAGAGCATATTGAGTGAGGCAATGAGAATTGCCTCTCATTGGGTAAACATTTCAAGAGTATTAACTGTGACTCTAGCCTATGTTCAACTGGCCTTTTCTGAGCCTGACAAGGATTCCATGTGTTTTGATTTGCACTAGGTTATCAAATTCATTTGTGTTGATTCTTGTTGGGATCCGGGATAAATAATTTCTGATTCTTGCTGAGGTACTGGGCTCTATTAGCACTATTGCTTAGATGTGGGATCCTTAGGAACTGATACTTGCTGGGTTATGATTTGACAGGCACTAACAGTGGCACATGGGCTTCGCTGGGATATGGATTCAATGGACATTCTTGACATGTGACCATGCAGCTGGATATTTTAACTTAGGAGGTGCTCAGTATACTTGCAACCTTAGGCAAAGTAAATCAGGACCAAATAATCCTTCCACCTCACCTCAGTACACAATTACCAAAGCCAGTTGTAACTACCAGGACATTTCTTTTTAGGCAAATAATTAACTCTGCATAGGTCAGAGATTAATCCTGGTACTCTCATCAAATTTGCACAGCATCACCTTTCCAGGGCCATTTACTCGTGGTACTATCCATCATCAGATTTACCTTGTTTTATCACACCCTAAAATGTAGCACAGAAATGAAATAATGCAGGTGTTTGAAATGTACCTCAACCTGTACCTTGCCTCACCTCATGAAATGATCCTATAAAAACAAATTACAACTGCAAAACCCTTTCATATTTAAAACCAAATTGGATAATTCCCCCCTCCAGTTCCTACCTTGAGTATCTGCCAAGTTAAGGTTTCAGCCTGTGAAGATTACTATCAATCATTTTACAGTCTCCACCCTGATGGATAATTCCTGTTTCTCTACCCCTGATTTAGCAAAGCGAAGGTCGGTAGTGTTGTGGGGGAGTGGGCAGTGGTGGGGAGCAGTGGTTACACTGGGAGTTTTTCTTACCAGGTCTGATTGCAATACTTGTATAATGTTTGTTCTTGGCCAGTTCTCGTACATCATCTATATCATGATCACATCTGTATGACAGGGCAGGGTGAGAGGAGCACTGTGGTAATCTGAACTAACATCCGGTTATTCAGTTCCCAGTTTCAGAAACGCCTCCATTCCAACAATAACATCAGAATACACAGAGAACAACAAATATTCTTGAAAATCAGTGTGAAAATTGAACAAGAGAAACAGCTGGAGAGATTATAAAGGAAGGAGTATCAAAAAGAATATCAAAGCAAGGGACTTGCTGAAGGGAATACTGGAAAGACAAAATACCAGGAGAACGGAAACCACACAGGCAGGTTTATCAAAAAAGTGAATAACAGAGGGAGGAAATACTGATCAGAGGGAATAGTGTAAGAAGAGCATTTTAGGGAGAAGTGACTGTTGTAGGGACAGGGTTATGAAAGGGAAAACAAAGTCGGAATTCTATGTAGAGTATATAGTTGAGCCTGGGGATAATGAATGAAGAAAGTGTCACAGGAGTAAATGTTGGAAGAGAATAAAGAGATAGAATACAAGATGGAGTGTGGATTGGAACAGGAAAATGACAGAGGGGTGCTTTAGGTTTAACTTACAGATGAGAAACAGGTCCTCCACTTATATGTGGGAGATTCACAAATGGAAGTTGCTCCAAACTTGCACACCTGATTTTGGGATAAAGTTCTTTTGTGTCAAAATAATAGTACAGATACTGGTATATCAGTTCTTCATCCTGATTGAGATGTATCTGACAGGCACTGTCTATATTTGCCATCAATGATCTGAAGCAGAGGTTTATTGCCATGGCTCTTATTCGTTGACACTTCACTAAAGGAACTAATCATGTGATGCAGGTGAGAAATAGAGCAACATGCACAATGCAGAGAAATATGTTAAATTAATCTACCTTATTTTATTTTTCAATGCGGAACTGGTGTGAAAATAAATCAGCTGAATTGTTGGCCCTGTTATACATCTGTGGGATGAATCAATCGCATATTTACATGATCTTGATTTAGTTCAATTCCATTCAAAATCAAACCTAACCCACTCGATTTAGATTAATTCCACATTTATCTCATTATCTATTTATCATTAGTTTTATTTTATGCATTTTTAAACTGGTTTATTTTCTCGCTCTATTCTTTTAAATCCCAAATATGTACCCAGTTCCAGTTGCTGCCTGCATCAGCCACAACGCACTGTTACTTCTCTCACCTCTTGAATCAAAAGGCTATGGGATTGAGTCCACGCCAGAGTCAAAATCTAGATTAATACTTAATTGTTGTACTGAGCGAGCACTGTACCGTCTGTGGGTGTTAAACAGGAATGTCCAACTGCTGCCTGAGATAGAAGCATAGAAAAAAGGCGCAGGAGTAAGCCGTTCAACCCATTGACTCCACCATTCAGAAAAATCATGGCTGTTCCTCTATCACGTTGCCATACTCCTATGCTTTCCTTATACCCTTGACAACTCTAGCTTCTAGAAAAATCTATCATTTTTTAAATGCAGTCGATAGACTTCAAAGATCTCATTGTTCACTCTGAAGAAAACCAGGGCAGTTATCCCAGTGTCCCGGATAGCATTTATCTCTCAAGCAACATAATTTTTAAAAATTCATTAGTAATTTATTGCATTGCTGTTTGTGAGACCTTGCCGTGTACACATTGGTTGCTGTGTTTTGTATATTACAAGAGGGAATACACTTTGAATGTAATGTGCTTGGGATGTTCTGAGATTGAGAAAGGTGCTTCTTAAGAATATTATTCTTATTCTTAAGAATATTCATTACCAGCAAATGCCAGGCATGGACTATCCACTTTTTTTTGCTGTTGATTCAGTTAAGCCTTTTCCATCTGTTCAGCACTTCCTCCCCTCCCTTGCCCTCGAAAGCAGGAACTCACCACATACAGAATCATGACCATGAACTGGCGCCACCACAGATTCTCCACCCGTCATTCTTTGATCCAGATTAGATTCTAATCAGGGCTGTGGTATAAATACAGTAAAAGCGTCAGGTCAAGAAATGAATTGTCACTCTTTATCAGAGATACTGTGCCTCCGGCGTTCTCACACAAACGATCAAAGCTAGACATTCAGGCTGTGGAGTGATTGAACTCTTCCTCATACCTGTCATTATTAAGTTGCCAATACCACGTTAGTCTTCCTGCACTGCAGTAAGTAAATTGTGGCCTGATTGCCTTTCCCTATAGCTGTAGATTTGCTTCAATACTAGAAGTGGCTGGCTTCTTGCATTTTTGCAATGAAATGTTGAGCACTGTTTTTGCTGCTAGTTTTACTAAGCCGTAATTCCAATCAGACTGATTAATAAAATTAATAGATTGTAACCTGGCCTGGGAAAAAGTTTGTCTGAATGCTTTAACCAACCTAGCTCAAAGCTAGACCTCATTTGCTTGTGCACTGGATTTGTTTGTCATTCTAACGCTCTGATTTTATTTGCTTTCCCTCATTGTGCCTTTGTCTGATTCTCTTATTATGTTATCTCTTTGTGTGAGTATCCTTCTGTTCGTCCAGCTCCTCACCTAGTTATCTCAGATTCTCCAGCATCTGCAGCTCCTACTATCTCTGTGCCCCACATCTATCTTTTTCAATCTCCACCTGTAATTTCTCGACTTTTTTCTATTATTCCTCTGCAGTATCACAAAAGATATATGTTGTCTTTTATCTTTCAGCAACTCTGGTGTCTCACCTTTTCTCAACTGCCCCTCTATTCTTTTCTTTGTGCTTTTCTTTATTGATTGTCTTTATTTTTCTTTCTTTGTCTCCATCTCTTGTCTTCATTGTTCTGACATCTTTTTAGTTTGGTTTGAACAAGTCTCTTGCTGTACTATTCAAACACATCTCTGGCTGTGTCCTCACCAAATAGTGACGCTGGTAGCTGCAGGGTCTAAATAATGGCAACCCGACACAGAGCTGACCTGGATGATCTGATTACCAGCTTTGGCTAGACATATGCCGAGAGGTTTCAGCTCTAACTGCTCTCTCCCTGCTTTGGCCACTAGTCATCTGTTATGCTAGTTGGAAAGGGAGTAGATTCCTATCTATTTGATTGGACAACTTGTGACCATCATTCAATCAATTGTGTTCCCGATCTCCAAACTTGCACTTGGGTAGCTCAAAGCAGAGTCCTGGAGATGAGAGAATATTTCCAGGAGACCCCAAAGAATTTATAACCCTGGAGAAAAATAAGCAGGTGGACTATCACGAAGAAGGAGAAGTGACAGGCAATACACAGCTATAAAACAATGTGTTGTTACTATCACAGATTCGGGGCATCCTTGATTCTGTTCTCACACTTCACTCTCCAAGCCACAATTCCACAGAGCAGTCACCTCAGGACAAATGATATGAAAATTCCAATTTTAATTCGGTTGCATACCCTCACCAAAACTTAAACTTTACAAGGAATGCCAGTATGAGTTTTGAGATACCTCAATACACAAAACAGAAGTGTCTAATGCAAAAACTGTCTACAATGAAGAGTAACATATACCAAACATTATATTAATTACCAATGCTCCTGTTAATTATACAGAGTTACAAAAATACTATAACTTATCAACAATAATTGACATTTATATTCCATAGAATAACACTTTCATTATACAAGCTAGAATGTCTGCTATAGAGTAATGCATAAGTAAAGGTGTTACATCAGCCTTGTCAAATAATTCAAACTGTATGCTATGTGTTACGTATATCACAATACGCAATAGCATACTTTAGATGTAAGTTAAAACGGAGCGTATCTTGTGTATAACATCAAATGATGTTATTATAATTAGTGTAGAATAACAACTTATTTTACAGAATGATTGCAGTATTAAATAGCCTGAAGAACAACGTAGCCTCATTTAGGAGAAAGAATAAGAGATAATAAATACTTTAAATACATACTTTAGATTTTCTTTAGAGAACATGCTATGCTTAGGTTGTAGACATGCTCACCGAGCCGGTGGGTTTGGTTGCAAACATTTCATCACCCTGCTAGGTAACATTGTCAGTGTGCCTCTGGTGAAGCATCGGTGTTCTGTCCCGCTTGTTGTTTATATGCCTCAGTTTGCTGGGGCGATTGGTATTACTTCCGGTTTTGTTTTTCAGTGGTTTGTACACAAGGTCTAATTCAATGTGTTTGTTGATGGAGTTCCGGTTGGAATACCAGGCCTCCAGAAATTCTCTAGCGTGTCTTTGTTTGGCTTGTGCGATTATCAATGTGTTGTCCCAGTCAAATTTGTGTCCCTCATTGTCTGTGTGTAGTGAGATAAGTGAGAATTGGTCATATCTCTTGGTGGCTAGTTGGTGTTCATGTATCCGTATTGTCAGTTTTCCTCCAGTTTCGCCCTATGTAGTGTTTCTCACAGCCCTTGCATGGTATTTTGTATATTACCCCGGTTTTCCCGGTTTTGGGTATGGGATCCTTTTTGTTCGTCAGTAGCTGTTACAGGGTAGTTGTCGGTTTGTAGGGTACTCTGATACCTAAGGGTCTGAGTAGCCTTGTGGTCATCTCTGAAATGTCCTTGATATATGGTAGGGTGATAAGTGATTCTGGTCGTGTTGCGTCTTCCTGTTCCTCTGAGAAACAAAACTGGAAGTAATGCCAACCGCCCCAGCAAACCGAGGCATATAAATAACAAGCGGGACAGAATGCCAACACTTCACTGGAGGCGCACTGACAATGCTACCTAGCAGGGTGATGAAACGTTTGCAACCAAACCCACCGTCTCAGCGAGCATGTCTACAACCTCATCCATGACCCGAGCTACAAATCTTCTCGAAAACTTTAAAAATACAATGCTACATACATTACAAAGAATACCAGTCCTAAAGGAATAGAATCACTATGGTGTGCATTACATATTGTACCGTATCATACTGTTTACAACAGAGAACTCATAGATTCTGAAGATCTAAAATAAAAACAGGAATGCTGGGAATGAATCAGTCACAATGTGAGAAAAGGTAAAAACAAGTTCATGTATTGTAAAAATATACATTCTGATATGAATTACATCTGAGCTGTTGGTTCAGTCAGTTACACAACAACAGTGCGGTTGCACTGAAGAATTAAATGAAATGCAACATTATTAAATCCACTCACTCTAAAATCATGAAAATAATTCTTAAGTGAGTGAATCAGCTTCCAGTTATATACACATATTAATTCTTAAACTGATGCTGAATGGAATTTGTGCAGCAGTTTGGTGAAACAACAGTATGGGTGAGTACAGTTTAGTCAGAATCATAAGATCATACCCCTCAGAGGAAGTGCATTCAGCCCATTATGCCTGTGCCAGCTGTATGAAGGTGCTATACAATTAGTTCTACACCCCTATGTTTTTTTTCTCCTGAGCCCTGAACAGATTTCTTTTTCTTCTATTTATGTATTAATCCAATTCCCTTTTGAAATTTACTGTTGAATCTGCTTCCACTGCCCTTTCAAATAGTGCATTCCCAATTGCAACAACTGGCTGCATAAAAACATTTTTCATTTTCCCTCTGGTTCTTTTATTAATTGTCTTAAATCTGTGTTTGCTGGTCACCAACCCTGCAGCCATTTATTAAACTCCCTCAGCTTTACCTGTTTCTAATTTGTGTGTTAGTAAGAGCAACAATTCCAGCTTGCTAGCTTCTCCACATAAGTGAAGACCTTCAACCTTATATACCATTCTGGCAAATCTCCTTTCCAACTGCTCCAAGGCCCTAACGTTCTTCTTGAGGGGTGATGCCCAGATTTGGGCACAATACTCTGGCTGATGCCGAACTGTTGGTTGAGAAAAGATGGGATACCGGTTTATATCTCCACCACCCTGTGGTGAAAACTGTGTCAGAAACAGAAGGTGCCAAGGTAGGGACAAAAGACAGAGAAACAAGAGGAAGATGGAGTTGAGGCAGAACAGCAGAGGCTTATGACTGTTTCTGCAAGCTTTCCTGGAGTATGAGGGTTTCAGCTAAGAAAGGAGGACAGAACACAATTAAGAAGAAAATGCCTGCTTATTCTAATTTGATATCTACAAGTAAATCCTTTTATTAAGACCATAAGACATAGCAGCAGAAATTAGGCCATTCAGCCCATCGAGTCTGCTCTGCCATTCATACATGGCTGATAAGTTCCTCAACCCCATTCTCCTGCTTTCTCCCCGTAACCCTTGATCCCCTTCATAATCAAGAAACTATCTATCTCAGTCTTAAATGTACTCAATGACCTGGCCTCCACAGCCTTCTGTGGCAGTGAATTCCATAGATTCATCACTCTCTGGCTGAAATAGTTTCTCTTTATCTCCGTTCTGAAAGGTCTTCCCTTTACTCTAAGGCTGTCCCCTCGGGTCCTCGACTCTCCTGTCAATGGAAGCATCTTCCCAACATTCACTTTGTCCAGGCCATTCATATTCTGAAAGTTTCAATTGGATCCTCCCTCATCCGTCTAAACTCCAATGAGTATAGTCCCAGAGTCCTCAAATGTTCCTCATATGTTAAGCTTTCCTTTCCTGGGACCATTCTTGTGAACCTCCTCTGAACCTGCTCCAGGGCCAGTACATCTTTCCTGAGAAATGGGGCCCAAAACTGCATGCAATCCTTCAAATGTGGCCTGACCAGAGCCATATAAAACCTCAGTAGTACATCCCTGCTTTTATATTCAAGTCCTTCTCAAAATAAATGCCAACATTGCATTTGCCTTCCTGACTACTGACACAACCTGCAAGTTTACCCTGAGAGAATCCTGGACTAGAACTCCCAAGTCTCTATAAGTGGTTAGCTTTTCTCCCTGATGCTCTGGCACTGGCCATTTCCTGACAATCCCATCTAAATGGTCTTTCATGACTGGGAACCTGGACAGTGGACATCTGAAAGGTCTTTTGCTCCTGGGGTTTAGTGTTCTAGTCACAACCCGAACATAATCCCACCTTTACCTGACAGTCAAACATTCGCACCTTTTCCACATTCCCATTTACCGCCAGCAACCTTCAAGTTTCTTGCCTAACAAGAATCTATCGGTCGTTGTCTCAAAAATTCTCAATGACCCTGCATCCACCACCTTCTGAGACAGAGTTTTAAAGTTGCATAATCCTCTGAGAGAAAAGAATTTTCTTCAGCTCTGTGCTAAAGAGTTCTGGATTCAACCACAAGAGAAAACATACTTTCCACATCCACCTTGTTAAGACTATTTGGGACCATCCTCACCCTTCTAAACTCCTGCAGAAACAAGCCAGTCTATCCAGCCTATTTTCAGAAGACAACCCACTCATTCCAGGTATCACTCTGGTCAATTGCTTCTGAGCTACTGGAACTAATGCATTTGCATGGATCCACACTGCACCTCTTCCAA